GCAGTTCAGGTGGCAAGCTGTTCCACAGGGCTGGGGCCACGGCGGAAAAGGCCCTCTTCCTAGACCCCGCCAGCTGAAATTCTGTGACTGGTGGGGTCCGCAACATGCCCCTTCTGACAGACCGAGTGGGGCGGGCGTACAGCTCCTCAGATAACCTGGTCCTGTGCCATGAAGGGCTTTAAAGGTGATAACCAACACCTTGAATTGGACCCAGTAGCAAACTGGCAACCAATGCAGCTCACATAACAGAGGTGTTCTGTGTGCCACCCTAGGGGCGTTCAAGACTGCCCACGCCACTGCATTTTGTGCCAGCTGTAGCTTCCAAATACCCTTCAAGGGTAACCCCATGTATAGCGTACTCTTCCCTCCCAATCTTCTCAAAACATACTTCTGAAAACACCCAGAACTGATCCTTCAGGGAAATTGTTGCAAAGCATAACAGATTCTACACACCTTGAGGCTGCCTTTGGATGGTGTTGGAATAAGGGGAAAGCATTACTTTCATGTCAACAGCTAATGATGACTTAAGCCTGTCTCTCTCATGGGTTAGGATGAAATTAAGGCAATGCTGGGGGAACAAGGCAGAACACTGGTGATGTTACAACATGATTATCCCATGGTTAAGTGCAGGGGTTATCAAGGCCAAACCCACATGTACCCACACACAGTATTCTCCTTTAAATATGCAGGCTGTCTCTTACCAGAGAAGCTCTCAAGCCTCTTGGCAGACAGCCAAGATAAATATTTAACTACACTTTTGAAAATCATGGCCAATATTCTCTGCAGCCCACCAGTTCTTTCACAATACACTGAAAGATTTCCTTTGAAGCTAAATGGCCATGTTGTAAATGACATTGAGGTTCCTCACATCTGCACTCAGGCAATGACTATAGCAGGGCTGAGATATTTTTCTGAGATTTTTCTTAACCACTTGTGCCTAAATCTGTCAATAAAGTGCATGCAAAAACAGGTCTTCTATTGATTCTTTGAATAAGCATTAATTCTACTATTCCTTTTCAGACAAGAGTTCATTGTTTATCCTGTGGGTAATAGCTGCAACAGAAAATTATTGATTTCCCTCTGATCTGGTTGCTGACTGCAGTTTACAAGTTGTGGGACTATTGAGGCCAGCTTTCCAAGGCCGAGACCTGATTTGTAAACACAACGAAGGCTATCTCAGAAAAGCAAACTAATGGCATTGTCATTTCTATAATAACTACTTTGCAAGATCAGACCAACGTCCAGCCCTCAGAAGCCACCCAGATGCCTCTTCAAAGAGAAGCATGAAGGAATGGCAATCCCTGTCTGTGAACTGTGGATTCTAATTAAAATAATAAAAAGCTGCTGGGATAGTAACCAATTTGGCCTGCTACATTTTTGGCATTCTTGAACCCATGTATCCATCTAGGAAACATCTACTTATTCAAAGAGGTAGATATCTTTTGTCTGCTAGAACAAAGAGCTTGCTAAGCACGAGCTTGTTAAGCACAATCTATTGTTAAATGTGCAAGTCACAGTAAACAGCATGACTGAAGCTGATTGCATTAACCGATTGCCTTTGTACTGTATGCACTATAGGCCCCCAATTATTTTGCTGTTGTCACAGTCTGTGAGTACTAGCTGTTACAGAAAGGGAAGCTGCCTTTTTTGTATGTTTATTTGTCTTTTGGAATGGAGGGTGTGCTTCCCCCAACTATTTCAGTTCTAGTCATTTCATTGCCTTTAAAATGCAGTACAAATATAATTCTAAGGATGCAAGCAGAAGATAGATCTCTGCCTATAGCAACAGATTGGCACTTATGCTGGTATCCTAATTCCCAAGGGTTTCATACCAGCAAGCCGAATTTCAGGGAAAACAGATTTTCTGCCACGGCCAGCAAAGAGAAATAGCTTCAGCCTCATCAGGCTCAATGTACCATGTTGGTCAACTTTGACTAATTTTTTTGAAAAACCCACGGTGTCATTTTTGAGATCTTTAGCAATTCAGATACGGAACTATAATTGTTTATGTGGGTGGTCTCAGAAGATGGGCTCTTCATGAGATGCCACACTTAACCAGCCAACATTTTGTACCTAGCATCCCAACTTTGTATGGAAACATTTATTTGTGGCTCTTAGTTGTCTCTTAAAAAGCAAAGTAAATCAGGCTGGGCAGTTGCCCACCTTTGGCTTTTTAAATCAATTAAAGAAAGCATACTAGTTTGCATTATTGTAACACTAAATATCAACATATGGCTTGAAGTAACAGAGATAGGTGTTCAAATGAATGCTCCAGTCCAACCTATCTAAAAGGCAGCAGTTGAAGAAGGCTGCTCAAAGGTGTGGTCTGGGTGATAGTCACCTAGCTTAACTGCCGACC